CTCTCACCTCTTTCTACAGAATCAAATGCCAATTCCACCAGTGACCAGACCTCAGGCAATTTCTCTCTCTCTCTCTCTCTCTCTCTCTCTCTCTCTCTCTCTCATCTGTTTCCTCATCAGGAACATGAGGTGGTTGGACCAGGTCATCACATTCCAACATCTAAGATATCGCCACTCTTTCCATCCTTACCTCTCCGGTTAAATCTCCTTCTCTCTCTCTCTCTTTTTTTTTTTTTTTTTTGAGACAGATTCTCACTCTGTTGGCCAGGTTAGGTGCCATGGCGTCAGCCTAGCTCACAGCAACCTCAAACTCCTGGACTCAAGCAATCCTCCTGCCTCAGCCTCCCGAGTAGCTGGGACTACAGGCATGCGCCACCATGCCCAGCTAATTTTTTGTATATATTTTTTTAGTTGGTCAATTAATTTCTTTCTATTTTTAGTAGAGACGGGGTCTCGCTCTTGCTCAGGCTGGTTTCGAACTCCTGACCTCGGGCGATCCTCCCACCTCGGCCTCCCAGAGTGCTAGGATTACAGGCATGAGACACTGCACCCGGCCTCTCCTTCTCTTTGGATTTTTAGTGTTGGTGGGGCAGTGGACTGCTGTAGTGAGGAGCCTGGGTCGGAATCTTGCTTCCTCTACTGAACAACCTGACCCCTGATTGCTCCTATTTCTTCAGTGCTAAAATGGGGACATTAATGGTACCCACCTCACAGGGAGAAGAAAAATAAATAGCTTCATATATGCAAAGTACTTAGGACTGCCTGGACTGACCCATGGCACTCAATAAAGTTGAGTATTATTACTGCTACTACTACTACTGGTACTACTACTGCTGGTACTACTACTATTACTACTAATTTATTTATTTGAAACTACTACATGTTGAGTACTTAGTGTTACAGTCCGGGTACATGGTCAGGCCCTTTCCATCCATGATTTAAATCAGGGTTGACAAACTATGATTTGGCCCACTGCCAGTTTTTGTATGGTTTGTGAGCTAAGCATGGTTTTTACATTTTTAACTGGTGAGGAAAAAAAAAAAACCCAAAAGGATAATATTTCATGTACATGAAAATTGCATGAATTCAAATTTCGAGGTCCATAAATAAAGCATTACTAGAACACAGATACTCCTACTGATTTATACCTGGCAGCTCTCGCTCGGCAACAGCCGAGTCGTGTAAATGCAGAGTCGAGTAGTTGTGTCAGAGACCCTGTGTCTCACACAGCCTAAAATATTTATCATCTGGCCCTCAGCAGATAAAGTTTGCTGACTGCTAACCAAGATGTGTCTTCCTAATAACTGCACTAAGGAAGGTTTGGGGTCACACACTAAGTAAGTGGTAGGGGGAGGATTTGAACTCGGGTCTTTCTAGGTTCACAGCATGTGCCTTCAGCCACTATACCCCACAAGCTTAACTTGGGGTCAAGTGCGTAGGTCACAGTCTATGAAATGAACTCAAGGAACGGGTTCAGGCAGCAGGTTCAATCTCTTCCAAGTTACTCTGTTGTTATACCAGAGGCCTGACTTCCAGCTCTGACTACACCATTCATTCTCAGCCTGACCTTGGGCGGTCGGTTCCTGGTGCAGTGGTGATCTAAGCATGGGTTTTGGAGTGAGAATACCCTAGATTCTAATTCCAGCTCCACCATTGACTAGCTGTGTTGCCTCGTACCGCAGACAATGGGCCTTTCCTTATAATGATTTGGGCGGGTTGAATGAAAATCCCCATGCTATCTACTCTTGCCCCACTTTCTTTCTCTAGGCCACTATTTTTCCACCTGAAAAATGATGAGACCTTTCCGCTCCGACACTCTAGGATCGTGATATTCTACGTGTCTTATTTTAGCTCAGTGTCTGGCTCCACATGCCGAGATTCAAGTTTGCAGGGAGGTTGCACCCTGCTTTCCCTGACAAAGGTCTCGTCAGGTTAGGTTGAAGGCACGGGGGAGGTTGAGCCTAGAGAAAGCTGGATGTGGAGCAGGGAAGAGACTGGAGGAGGGGGGATACTTGAAGATCTCACTTCAATATCTGCACAGTAGGCCGGGCGCGGTGGCTCACGCCTGTAATCCTAGCACTCTGGGAGGCCGAGGCGGGCGGATTGCTCAAGGTCAGGAGTTCGAAACCAGCCTGAGCAAGCTCTATCATATTCTCAATTCATCCACAATCTATTTTATTTTTTAGATGCATTTCAAAGTAGGTTTCAGGCATCGGGACACTTTACCCTAAATACCTCACCATGCGTGTCATTAGCTAGACTCCAGTATTTGTTTACAGTTCTTTTTTCTCTCTTTTGAGGTACAAGGCTCTTTTGCATGTGTGATCTCACACCTATCTCATAACATCTCTACCTAGCAGTTATTATTAGTACTCACTTGATAAAATGGGGATACTGAGGCCCAGGATTGTGCAGGGAGTTGCGTAAGACACCAGCATACCCTGGTGCCAGAGGACTCGAGTGTCGAGTGTTTTATTGGAGTGCTTTCTGGAGTATTACTCTCCACCACATTTCACGCTCAGTCCAAATCAACTCAGCTCAAACACATTTAAGTCCGTCAGTCCAGCTCAACTAACCCCAACTGATTCTGACTTCATTCTTCAATTGAATTCAAATCAATTCAACATAATTTAATTAAACCCAAATCAAGCCCTTGTAATTCCGTTGGTATTTTATGAACAAACCCCACTGTATGTTTCATCTCCATTCTGTCCCCTGAGGCCTGCACTCAGCTCTGTCTTTCCTGTTGACTGTGCAGATTTTGTTTTTTTTTTTTTTTTTTTGAGACAGAGTCTCACTCTGTTACCTGGGCTAGAGTGCCGTGGCGTCAGCCTAGCTCACAGCAACCTCAAACTCCTGGGCTCAAGCAATCCTCCTGCCTCAGCCCTGAGTAGCTGGGACTTAGCTGGACTACAGGCATGCGCCACCCATGCCCTGCTGTAATTGTTTCTATATATTTTAAGTTGGCCAATGAATTTCTTTCTCTTTTAATACGAGACAAGGTCTAACTCTTGACTCAGGCTGGTTTCGACACTTCCTCCTTGAGCAATCGCCCGCCTTCGGCCTCCAGAGTGCCCTAGGATTACAGGCGTGAGCAACCCGCGCCCGCCTTACTGTGCACGGTATGAAGTGAGACTTCAAGTTATC